GATAAAAAAAATAAAAGTTACTTGTAAAATTTTATACATCAAAAGTAAAGATTAGCAGAATCTCAGATAAGATAGAATCTTAACAAAGGAAAATGGATTAAGTTATCTACTTCCATACTAATATGATTATGAAAATATAAAAAAAGGTTTATTTTTCATAAAATGATATTTTAATTTAAAAAGTAGTCCTACTAAGGAGGAAATATATTATCTTTCCTCTTCCTCTGTTTCTCTCCTTTTTCCTCTGAAATGCTGCTTCTCTGACATCCTCATTCTCTCCTTCTGAATATCATCCTTTCTCCTTTATCTTCCACCTAAAATATTGTCACTACTCTCTATAACCAAAATCTATTCTTTACAAAAATACCAAAATTCTTGAATTTTCCATAGTTATTTTCCTCTACAGCTCACAACCATGCCTGTAGTATTTTCAGAAAGCTCAGCAATTTCAGACCAAATTAGATACAGAAAATCCAGAACCCAAAACCAACAACAAGATATAGATCCAATTCCAATATTATCTTCTTCTACTCGCTCAAAGCCCACAATTTCCTCTCTACTTTTAGCACCATTTTCGCCTACAAGTCCAACCCATGAAAATCCAACTACAACCACTAGTACCTCTACAGCTATTTCCACTAAAAAGAAAAACTTTACAACATTTAGAGGACTGGGTTGTACGGCTTCATCTCAAGTGTCGGTTCCTGCTGTAATAAGAACTTCTGCTGACTGGGATTCCAAGAGAGTCAAGAAGAAAAAACAGAACAGCAACAAGAACAAATCCGTTAATTCTTCTGTTAATGTTAACGGAGGAGGGATTGGGTGCAATAATAATAATGGTATCCAGAATAACACGTCATCATCATCGAGCTGTGTGGGTGTTCCTGATGTTTGGTGTGGTCCTGGAATTGGACTAACTACTGATGCTGCTTCTGTTGATTGTGTTGTTTCAAGAAGACCCGTCTCTGGTAGGGGAAGAATTGAAAATGACAAGGTTACCCCTAGAGAGGTACTGTTATGTTTTGTTTTTCTTGATTGTAGATTGCTTCAACATGAGAATTGATAGGCCAAGTTTGTTGACTGTTGGATTTTTACTTATTGTTCTTGGTTTCATATGTCATAAATATCTTTGAGTCTTAAGCTTTGGATTTGCTCTTGGACTTTTGGTGAAGCTTCTTTCTCCAGGTTGAATTTCAGGGTCAAGACAACTTCTCTCATTGTTATTTGTTAGTATTCTGAAATTAGGTTTTGAATGGTAACTTTATCTTTAAAATGATTCATTTGCTGGTTTATGTTTAAAGTTAGCTGATGAGGAAAGGGGGAAAGTTGCTCTCAATAGATCAGGACTAGTATGTCTTTTAGACTTGTCATTGCTGCTATTTCCAATCTTGCATTTTACCATCTTTCCCTCAAAGAATTGAAGTTGTTGATTCTCAAAGTTATTTGGTTAGTCATGCTTGCTGATCCTACTTAATAAGAAGAAAAATACTCATGCTTGGTGATCCTTTCGCTCGATCTCTCATTGTTAGTTCTGCTTGTTTTTCCCGCTCTTGTACTTCTTTGCCTCGCTGTGAAGTGTCATAAATTCATTTTCTCACCAGTTTCACTTTTGAATTTAAGTTGTAACTTCAGCTTAATGGAGTCGTAGGTGAATGTTGAATATATGGTTTACGTTTTCTTTTTGCTAAAGTTCATTATAAGGTTTACATAAGCTAATTCTTGCAAATCTAACAATTATTCCTTTTGTTTCTGTACAGCGATCTACATGTCCTGTGCGAAGAATGGTGAGCCCAGAAGACAACCCTTTTTTGGATATAGAAAGTAGCCTTAGTGTACCGCGATCCCAAGTAGAATTATTTGCATCTAGGCATCATCGACATTCTCGCCACGGTTACCCAGAAGGGCTTGCAGAGGTGAGTTTATACATACTTTACTGCCACACAGATTTAGTTATATCTTGCTGCTTCACTGCCTTTTGTCATGTAAATTGCGAAGTTGTCATTCGTGCGTGAATGTCCAAGTAAAAGTTAGTTTTCCGGTGCTCAGGAGCATCTAGCTATGATCCCACAGTACCTTGCTGAACAATGATCTCGACTCTTTAGAATATCTTTTCATTCTACAATTATCATTTTCTTTAGAAGGAAACGGTATTAGGGAAATAGGTTTTTGCACAACTTTTTGTCCAGATTATTACAAGCAATCTTAGCAGCTTGGTATAGAGGCTTTACATGCTGATGCATCCTGCAACGATTTTTGCCTTAGTGTTTTAAATATGTCTGGTTAGCTTGGAAGATACCAGCATATCGTTTATTGACTTGTTTAAATTAGTTGTGAATGCCAAATAAAATTAAATGAGAGGTCATGCTTAGCCCCACAAGGAAATGCTCGTGCTCCTTTTATCACAGGAATTGAGCATCATTGGCTCAATGCTGGCAAAGTTTGATGCTATTGTATAAGAGACATAGTAAACAAAAGCATTTTCTCTTTTGGAAAATATCATAAACTTAATCTGATTTCTGTCCTTCCAATTGCCATGCCTTAAATTGCTTTATGATCTTAATAATGGTAAAGCCGTGTGCGGAACTAATTTCATGGAGTATCCTTGTTTAAGAGTTAAGGAGCACAATGGGATAATGTGCATGGACTCTGGGGTATAATGTTTGCTTAAGGTTCTGAAATGTGATAGTCTGCAATACTTCGTCACTGTTATCTCCTGTATTGTGCCTGACTGCGATGGATCAACTGGAACCAATCTTAGGGAGATAATATGCATGATCTTTGTGGGGGTGTGATTGCAGATTGTGATGCTTCAAAATAGTCTTATGGGAGGAAGGACAGTTGGTCTTGATCGATATCGGGACTTGAGACTTGACGTGGATAACATGTCATATGAGGCAAGTCATTCCCTTGTCAATCTAGCCATCCTTTTTTAATATATCTCACGTTCTCTTTATCAATGATCACCCTTTAAATAAACAGGAATTGCTGGAACTTGGTGATAAAATTGGATATGTCAACACGGGATTGAGAGAAGATGATATATGTCGATGTGTTAGAAGAACCAAGCCCTTCTTTTTGAATAATTTCTCTCTTATCCGCACAGAATTGGAGAGGAAGTGCAGCATCTGTCAGGTTTTTTCTGAGAGAAATTTTATTAGACATTATTTTTTGTTACTTGCACTTCTTGAAAGCTTTTTTTGGTTGTTCCAACAGTTGACACTTTGTCCTTTCTGCTTCTCCCAATACAGGAGGAATATGAGGCTGAGGATGAGATGGGAAAGCTGGATTGTGGACACTTCTATCACATTCGTTGCATAAAGCAGTGGCTGATGCAAAAAAATAGTTGTCCCGTTTGTAAATCTGCAGCTATGTCTAATAGCTAGACGTAAAAAACATTTCCACCCCGCATGAACCTGTCGTTCTTTCTGTATAGCTTCTGTCGTCACTACAAGCTAGAAAATTCTTTACAGGGCGTTTCTACCCTATTTGATTACTGAAAATGATGGTTCTGTTGTTTGAGTGGCAATCCAATATGGACTGAGACGAATGGTACACAAAGTATTACTATTCTTGTTTGAGTACAGTGGTTGAATGGTACAAAATTTACCATTACTAATTTTACATGTATTGCAGATAAGTTTCTGTCATTCTATGTCAAGGTTGATTTGGTGCTTCATAATACAATTCGATTTTTCATGGCAGTTTAGTTCCTTTGTTTATATTTACACCCCAACCCCCAAACCCCAACTTCATTGCTAGAGGGGAAATCATTGCATGAAACTAGTTGTGAGCCTCAAATTGACGAGTGCTGCAGTTGATATATGTATCTTTATTGAGGTGGGTATTTTGGTCTAGATAATGGAAAACTTGACACCGTCATGTTACCATTTAAGGAGTGGGCCATCTCATATAGTCATATTAAGTGAAGTGCATTGAGCTTTTCTTAATAGTGGGTCAGTACCAGGCAATAACTTTCGCCAAAATAAGTGGACCTTGATTCCTTCATTTTGTGATCAAGATTTGTGGACTGGGAGTGGGCACGATGTCAACCTCAATATCTCTATTGCTAAAACAATGAAATGAGAGCAAAATCAAAATGGCCATAGATGCAACTGTTCTATGAATTGTATTTTGCATGCTTCATAAACTGCACATCTCTTACCCACAATGGTCAATGGTCCCTAGTTATCTTTCAAATGGAACTCAATGTACATACTTATCGCTAGAGTTGGATTGTGTGGGCTCCTGTCTTTACACCCATCTCATATCCCATGCATCCGATGTAGGATTAAAGGTTAAGTTTCTCCCACTGTGGCACAATATTTTCACCGTGGCAGAGCTAATTCATTGATAAATGAGTTAGTAATCTGCTACAACTTCACACGGCACTGGTTGCAGAGGATGTTACACTCTATCATGTCGACTGAGGAATTCAATTATATATGGATATACTTGATAGAATGCCTGCATTTAGAACTTCATCTGCTTAATAATTGGTTCATATAGGTTAATAAATTTCCAGAGGTAGAAGAGAACATTGCATCATGTTCATCACTAACTTATTAGTAGTAGATTCGGAAAATATTGAATAACTGATTTTATAAAACACATACCATTCGTCCACCGACTAGATCATAATGGGCATAGTTTGGACCCTGAGGTTCACCAAAAACTTTATACGTGACCAAGTTCTCAGGAATCAGCTTGACAGTTTCTAGTACATTAATATGGCAGTAACAAGTTAGCAGTTAGATTAAAGAAATGGCTGGGAGAAGGTAAATATGTGAGTAAACATGATAACAGATCACAAAATGGTATTCTACCATACACAGCTTCAGGAGGACAAATAAGGTCTCTGTCCCCTGCAAGAGCTAAAAGAGGCACATTGCTTTTGTGAAGATGGTCCTTATAAAAGAAAGTCCCACTTCTATTCCTTAGACCACCCTTTTGGAAGACTGTTGATAGCTGTGACAGAAGTTTCGCAGGAATAGTACCTGCATAAATGTAACCATGTGATATTCCATAAATAATAGCCATAAAAGTACTCTCAGAGTTTCTTCTATCTTTTAATATCTTATTTTATTATTTCAGAGGGGAGGTACTGGGCAGTTTGGAGGATGCAGAGTCCTAATCTATTGAAGGATTTAAGACAGATGTTAGGTGTGCATAGTATCATGTTAGCAATGGTCTAATGATCTCAAAGACGGTTGATGCAACACAACAGATGACAAACACAGTCAATTTATACATCATATACTGCTTGGACAGCGATCTGCTTAACAGAGAGTTAGTTTGCTTGAGAAACTAAAGTAATTTCAGAAATAAAAATTACTACGAAGTCATTTTACCTACAAGAAATGCGAGTTTGTTTAAGCTAAAGCTTGTTAATAGTTCTAATGGAGTACAGTACACAGTAACCAAAAAAAATAAAAAATATATATATAAACTATGAGTTCAACTGAGGTAATGTCCTCAGGTAGAAATATGTTATGACACCCAAATGGTTGGAGAAGTAAAAAGTTAGATTCAGTTGTGCAATGACATAGCAGTCCATGATAATCGACAACTGTGGAAATCTAAGAAAGTGAAACAAGATTTCTCGTATAACGACACCTATCACAGGCAAATGCTTCTATATTAGCTTGAACTGTGAACAAAAACTTGATTGCATGTCGGATATTGCTGTTATTGTGTAACGCCAAACAATAATACCAATCTTGTTTTGGAGAGCTTGCGCTTGTTATCCCCTTCCATCAAGTCAACAATTCACCTAAGGTGGAACCAAACCAATTACAGTATATCATTTCCCTTTAAGGCTTTTACTAGCAAGACGCGACTAACCATAAAAGCAAGATTCAATAAATGGAGCTGACAAAGAAAACAGCACAAGTCAATCATGTTTTGCATCTCTTCTCACTGATGGTTATGATCTTTGATGAAGAAAGAAAGCCAGCTCATACTTACAAAAGTTTTTCAAGACAAGCCTCTCAAACATTTCCGGATGCATCATATTTTGCGCAGATACCTGAGGATTTAACCATGATAAGAGATACGGAGGACGAGATGCAAGAGGATAGATGGCTGCGAGTAATGCTCCGAGTGGAACAACTGGAAGATTCACAGCCTTTGCAGGATCTACCTGTGCATCCACCAACAATTAAAATCCCCTTTTCATCACATTAGAGATAAACAAAGGTTGCAGTCTATTTGAAACCCTAAAGTGCAGCATGTGATGTCTTCCATTTTACTTACTAAGGGTAAAAGCATTTTCAGGGATGACCGTGAAGTAGTGTAGTCCAGTGATGAACCCAAAGTGATGACTGATGCCAACTCAGTGCACTTTCCTCTGGAACCTGGTAAATCAAAGACATTAATTCAGACGCATGTAAATATATACTACATGAAGTTACACATATCGTCCCTCTATCCCAAAATGTTTGGCGGCACTTTTCTCTTCCCAAGATACAGACTAAGTAAACTTAGACCTAATTTCACCATTTTGATATGAGGAGAATTGCAATTTATAGTACTTATTGCTTAGTTTCGATCTCATAGAGTTCAATTCCCGTTCCCAACCCATGAATATCTAAATTTTGAGATGAATTAGTCTACCCTGATTTTAGCTCTGAGATTTAGTCAAACTGACTCTCGAGAGCATTATTGTTTAATTATAAATATATTGCTAGTTATAGTTCTTTTTTCTGAATAAACAACCAAAGCACAAGCCAAAGGACTATCTGACTAACTTTGGCTACCATTTTCCCCAAAACTAAGACTAGGAAATACAAGAGTACTGGTGGATTAGAAGGCGTTATACCATTTTGTGAGAGCATGGCATACAGCAAGATACCTCCCATAGAATGGCCAATAGCGAGCAACTTTCCATCCTTCGGTCTGCATTGGTTCCTTATGTAGTCCATCTACATAAACAAAAACAGAAGCACTAACTAGTAACTAATGCACGTCAAGCGCATAAATATAATAATCTTAGAAAAGCTCCTGTAATACATTACACGAGGAGATAAAGACCAATCTATTCAAAATCCATGCCACGAGATGTCACCTCACCGCTGTAGGCACATCTTCTTCCAAGTAATGATCGAAGTCCCAGTTATACTTCCCAATCAGATGAAGCTGTTTCAAGAAATCTTCTACTGTAATAGAAAAGCGGTTTTGCAAACCAGTAAACTGAGAGATTGGTTGTTGATTTTCCTCAATAATATTTCCAAGTCCATGACCAAATTCAGTGAGTTGGCTTGTAATAGCAGACACTTGTGTTGCATCTTGTAATCCTGAAATTTTTACCCAAATATGAATGTGATTGCAATGAAACCGCCTTTTTAACAGGGTTTTACATTTTTTTCCAATTGCTTCCTGATTGATTTGTATGCTAAGGGATAATTAATCCATTAACACTTACCTTCATCTTGACTAATTTTTGCGCTCAAGCCAGCACCTCGAACTTCAAGAATCCAAGTATCAAATCCTTGGTGAGACATATATCGTGCAAAAGATGACTGCAAGTAACCATATTTTTGATTTGAAGGTTAAACCATCAAACTGACATCTAGCTAAAATCAAAGACAAACCAAAAACTGGGAAATCAGAATAAAGTTTAACAATGACCACATCAGCTCACACAGATATCTTTTGCTTGTACCTTGCACTACATATCGATGAAAGCCGCAAGATCAATCTAAGAAAGCAGAAAAATCACCACACCCTCAGGTATGATGAGATGACTGCACTATGTAATTAGACAGGTACAGAGTGTACATTATAGTGTACGTTTACGATAATAAAGTGTGAGAAACTATCTACGGAAGCAAAGATGGTATGTTAATTTTCACAGGCTGTTATAAAGTTTGGACATTTAAACAAATAGATGTTAAACATGAAGCAACCATCCCATGTTCATATATACTATTTGTTGCAATTTTAATGAATTTTTACACATAAATTATGATACATGTCAAAAGCACAGGGTTCAGATGAACCCACTACCATAAGGCTGGATATGCCACTGATGATTCGAGATGAAAGACAGGAGGATATTTACTGATGTTAACATATCTGTTATTAAGAGAATAGGTTAAAGGCAAATCGTCTATCCGCTGTTATGAACCATGGACTTAACACACAAGGTACTCAGCCCAGTGGGGCATGTTGAGGAGGAATAAAAAAGCAGAGACTTACACCAGGAGCAAGATCATAGCCAATGGCATTAGTGCCTACTCCAGACAACAATAACAGAGGATGATTCCTGCGGCTCCGCTGCACACACATTTTCACATTATATCTATATATTTTAATAGTATTCAGAAGATAATTAAAGGGGAACGGTGCTTTCCAAGCTTAATATATATGTATAATAATGTGTAGTAATATTTTTTTGGATTATCTATTAACATATTATAGAGTTCAATTTCAATGTAGAGCACCTGTGGTGAAGGTAAGTAGCGCCATAGGGCGAGTTTCCATTCATTGTTGGGAAGGGGAACGTAATGAAGCTCATCGGCCGTACAAACAGAGGGCTTAGGGCTGGTTCTACCACCTGCGCTACTACTGATGCAGAGTGGCCGCAGCCTCTGCGGTGGACTACCAACGGCAGCGGCGGGTTCTACGGCGGAGAAAGACGGAAGGCCAGCCGGCGCGTGAATCGCCCAACGGAAATCCGATGGAGCAAAAGCAATCATTTTATTACACTAGTTGTATTTAGGAACAAAGGAACAAGTTCTTAATCTTTGTAGCCCAGAATGAGACGCATTAATATTTGATGCGTAATTTCCAAATTCTCGTTTTATTCATATTTGTTGCTTTCAATTTTCCTGAGTGTGATAGTATCTTAAATGCATGCAACATGTGCACGTGTCCGGTGCTAATGCTCCGCCTACTCCACGGGATAACAGTAATTCCTCTGTCCCAATTTTAATTTCAGTATTTATTAAATATAGAGTTTAAAATATTAACGCAAGGTAGTAAATAGTAACGTGACATAAATAGTAATTAAGAAATGGTTAGAAAGGTTACATAAGGGAAAAAAATATCACATAAATTTAAAAATTACAAAAATTGTAGTAATATTATCTTAGATAAAATGGCATGTGGAGGAAAAAGACAGTGATGGAACGCAATTCCCAAAAAAGAGTAGAAGAGGAAAGATGAAGATACGTGAAAGAGAGAACTGCCCCTTTTGGCCACAGCCTGATTCCAGATTACGTATTGAGATATTTGATTTCTTATACGATTATATTAGTGAAAGGGACGCTATTGAGTAACATCAACAACACAAAAATCTTCTCAGTATTGTAAAATCTCATTGCATGGAAAAAGAAAGTCAATGACAACAAGTACACATACATTAGCTCTGTCCAATTAAAATATCATTGCTTGGATATTTAAGTGGAGGATACAGACGAGCCTTCAATATTGCCACAAAAGTCCATTGCAAAATTACAAAATCAAAACTGCTATCTGAAAGCACTGGAAAATTATGTCCATTCAGTTTAGTAAATATCTACACATCTAGAAAACAATTGAGATTTTTCTTTGAATGGTGTAGTAGTAGTAGTAGTTGATAAGCAAACAAGTCCCAAATGAAGTTTCAACTAAGATTTTTATCCTTTATTAATGAATAAATGCAAGCATGATTCAGAATGTCATCCTTGAGGTGACGAAAAGTTTACAAGAGAAAGAAGGTGTTTAGCAATCTCAACAGATGCATCTGGCTTCGCAGCTTTGAGAGCTCTCTCAGACATCTCTGTCATCAATCCCTCATTATCTGCAAAAACCCCGTTGCGCGAAGGATAACATTAGAATCCAGAGGTGTGTTAGGAGGGCCAGTTCAATAATTCTTACATAATTAGCAGAAAGATTTTGATCGGAACAATAACATGTAAAAACACTTTAAATATGCATCTAGAGCAACCAAAAGGGTCCAAAGCAGAGCACGCTTAAGTGCAAAACTGATAAAAGACAAAGGAAAGTGATGTTCATAAACCCCAAAACCTCTACTCCCTGCTCAAAATTAAATCAGTAGAAAAGTTTAGCCAAAAGAAAGAAGACAAAATAGGTAACACAAGAAACACTAAAAGAAACACAATGCTGATAATCTATGCTATGACAAGACTATGGTCAAAGGGTTCTCCATTTGAAGAAAAATAAAGCTAGAACGAGTAGAACAAATCTATAGCAAGATTCCTGGTCCATTCTATCTGCCATTCGATGTGGTGTTTGATATAACGCCTCCTAGGTGCCATTCGATGCAATGGGCTGTTTTTTTTTATGTATTTATGTTTTTTTGGAAGCCATCTAAAACATACACTTTCACTTTCAGTATCCAATTGGTATGATGTTTTTTATGAAATGAATTCATGAATTCCATAAGAAGATGATTGACGGATCACTTCTCATGAGAAAAGCCACTTATACCTAATCTTCAGCATTGTAGGAACTATAGCAATCTTACTCTCTTATTCATTTTTAGTGACACTTCTTTATGGAGCTAAGGCGTCCTAGGTCTGTTGTTTATTTTGCCTTTCTGAGAATTCTTGCTCTATATATAGATACTAAACACAGGCACGTATAAAGTCTTATGTCAACCAAATTAAAGTCAATCAAATAAGCATCTTTAATGATGGTAACCTTCCCTCTCTCTTCTTATCTCTCAAGTGTGTCAACGATTCTGTGATAACTGATTTGTGACGAGCGAGGACATCAGGAGAGGCGTATTTCTCAAATTTGCTAAGGCCTGGTAAATGTATCTGCATGCTCTTTCAGCAGATATCTAAAATGTGAGAATAGATTTAAAGATAGGTCTAAAGTGCCATATTCTTGTTTGAAGCTCGTCAAACATGAATAGAGCTGCAGTCTAACCAATTACCAAACTCAACAGTAAACCAGGTAAATTTGTAGCTTTGGTACCATGCTCCAACTCGGAGAGCACGGACGAGGAGGAGAAGAGGATGTGTAGGAAGTGTTACAAGAAGGCAAGGAAAGAGGCAAAATTGGTAGTCACGGCGGCTAAGACTGCAGCTTTTGAGCGATTGTACGAGGATCTTGGGGGCAAAGGAGGCGACAAGAAGCTTTTCAGGTTAGCCAAGATTAGGGAGAGGAAGGCTCGGGACCTGGACCAAGTACGGTGCATTAAGGACGAAGATAGTAAGGTTCTGGTGGAAGAGGCGTGTATCAGGCGTAGATGGCGGGAGTACTTCCATAGGCTCTTGAACGAGGGAGGGGACAAGAATATTGTGCTAGGTGAGTTGGAGAATTCAGGGAGTCAGAGGGATTTTGGGTTTTGTAGGCGTATTAGGAGCGTAGAGGTGGAGGGGGCGATGCGGAAGATGAGCAAGGGTAAGGCTACTGGGCCAGACGAGATCCCAGTGGAATTTTGGAAGAAAGTGGGTCAGCCAAGCTTGAAGTGACTTACTGGTTTGTTTAATGTCATTTTCAGGACGAAGAAGATGCCCGAAGATTGGCGACGGAGTTTGATGATCCCGTTGTATAAAAACAAAGGTGATATCTAGGACTGTAACAACTATAGGGGTATCAAGCTGCTGAGTCATACTATGAAAGTTTGGAGAGGGTGGTGGAGATGAGGGTGACGTAGTGTTACTATTTACGAGAACCAGTTCGGATTTATGTCGGGACAGTCTACTACATAAGTCATTCACCTTGTGACGAGATTGGTGGGGCAGTATAGGGAGAGGAAGAAAGACTTGCATTTGGTATTCATCGACCTAGAGAAGGCCTATGATAAAGTCCCGTGAGAGGTCCTATGGAAATGTATGGAGGCTAGCGGTGTCCCGGTGGCGTACATTAGGGCGATTAAGGACATGTACGAAGGAGCGAAAACTTGGGTGAGGACTGCGAGAGGAGACTCAGATCATTTCCCAGTGGAGATGGGGTTACATCAAGGATCGACTCTTAGCCCGTTTTTGTTGCCTTAGCGTTAGATGTGCTGACGCGTCACATACAAGGGGAGGTGCCATGGTGTATGTTATTTGCTGATGACATAGTCCTGATTGATGAGACGCGAAGCAGAGTTAATGCTAAGTTGGAAGTTTGGAGACAAACATTGGAGTCTAAAGGTTTCAAGTTGAGTAAGTCAAAAACTGAGTACTTGGAGTGTAAGTTTAGTGATGGGATGCATGAAGAAGAAGTGGAAGTGAGGATTGGTACTCAAGTCATCCCTAAAAGAGATAGTTTTAAGTATCTTGGGTCTCTTATTCAAGGCAACAGGGAGATTGACGAAGATGTTATTCATCGTATTGGAGCGGGGTGCATGAGATAGAGGCTCGCCTCGGGGGTTTTGTGTGATAAGAATATGCCACCTGGACTTAAGGGCAAGTTCTATAGAGTGGTGGTTAGACCCACTATATTGTATGTTGCTGAGTGCTAGCCCGTCAAGAAATCCCATGTCCAAAAGATGAAAGTAGCTGAAATGAGGATGTTGAGAAGGATGTATGAGCATACAAGGAAAGACAGGATTAGAAATGAAGTTATTAGGGATAACGTAGGAGTGGCATCTGTGGAGGACAAGTTGTGGGAATTGAGGCTGAGATGGTTCGGGCAAGTGAAGAGGAGAGACATAGATGCTCCGGTGAGAAGGTGTGAGAGGTTGTACATGGCGGGTCTGAGGAAGGGAAGGGGTAAGCCTAAGAAGTATTGTGGAGAGGTAATTAGGCAGCACATGTCATTGCTTCAACTTACCGAGGGTATGACCCACGATAGGAAGGTGTGGAGGTCGAGGATTAGGGTTGTAGGTTAACACATAGTAGTGTGTTCCTCCTAGGCCGACCAGTAGTACTAGGACTATTTTTGTAATTTCCTTTTTATGGTTCTTTATTAAGCATGCCGTGTCATTCACGCCCGTTAACATGTTACATTGTTGCTAATATTCTTTGCTACTTGGTTGCTTTATCTCCACTGTTTCTTGAGCCGAGGGTCTATCGGAAACAACCTCTCTATCTCTATGAGGTAGGGGTAAGGTCTGCGTACACTCTACCCTCCCTGACCCCATTTATGGGATCAAACTGGGTTTGTTGTTGTTGTTGGTACCATGCTCCAACTCCCACCGCCCCAGTTTTACATATTATTAGTCACGTCAATGTCCAGCATGGATTTAGCAGAGTTACATATTCACAATCAAAATCATAGATTTTCAGATGAAGGGAAAAACTGAAGTTTATTAAACAAAACCATGACAGCAAGATGATGTATGGATTGTTTTTGATTAACTGCAATAATCAGAATAATACTACACATACAAGACAGAACACCATACCTAAAATTTCTTCAATAGCACTTTTAAGAGTCAGAGAGTCAAGTTCATCTTCAGTTATAACCCTTGAACCAGCTACATCAGCCATTAGACAAGCATTGTGAAATTGATGTCCTTCAGCCACATTCGGTGAAGGTATCTGCAAAAATTTCAAGAGAAAGCTATAAAGAAGTGTTTTGCCAAGATTAATGAACTAATCTCTCAAGGAATCTGAAACACCAGAGTTTTAAAACCGTGGAGGCAATGGATTTCTTTTCATTTATAATAAGAAGAAACGAGAAGCCATACTTCAGCTATGAATTGTAAGTTAACCAAAATTTTGGACAACTGCTATGGTCCTCTACCTAATCTCTCTCGAATAGTTTCCACCTATCTAATTTTGATCATTCAGAGCGGCTGCTATTTGATGCATGTTTTTGTGTCCAATAAACATTACACACGAATAGAGTTGTCCTCACATCAAATTTCCTCCCAAAATTGGTAAAATCAAATCGTGAGCCACAAGGCCATTTGCACCATGGATCTACAAATGTCAGTCAGAATATATGATTATTACCAGAATACAAGGTTTCCCAGCAGCCAAGATCTCGGAGCAGATCATTGCTC